TTATAAAAAATACAAAACTATTCTCACCTCAGCAGTACAATTTAGACAATGTTCCAGCTGTACACGCATTACAAACTGAGGCATGAGTCAAAATAATTTTCTGTGGTAATTGAGAGTATGCCGCAGATGCTTGTGAAATATTAAACTGCATTTATTCCTGAATATTACTTTAATGCACAATACATTTACAACTGTGCAGTGAGAATGCAGTCCTTGTATACCTCAGGATCAAAGATGTCACGCTTGTTCTTGATAGCTTTTTTCCTCTGGAAGTACGCCTTGGGTGCTTTATCCTTTTATATAATAAACAGCTAGAAAGTTGTCGAGAAGAAAACTCATGGCAGTGTCAAATAAAATGATTACAGCAGCCATATACAAGTAAAAATTTCCAAAAAAAGGCTCCAATCTACAACAAACCCAGTTAGATATTACTGTTGTGTACAAAAATCTCAAATAAGAATACTCCCAAGAAACACCAAGGTTCACTTATGAGAACTTGTGAACAGTTCACTTAGCTTGTTGAATTTCTGCTCCCACAGTTGAGCAACAGTACGACGTTAGTGTGAATTCATGCTGTGATTGTAGGAGGGGAGGGACAGGTCAGATAAGGATGAGTCAGAACATCATCTGTCCAGATGCTCCACCTGCTACCCAGCTTGCTGTCTCCCCTCCTTTATCGTTCTCCGCTATCCAGTAATTTAAGCAACCAAAGACCTCTTATTATAGGTTGCAACTTCTCGAAAGTAAATATGGGCACAAACACTTTGGACTATGAAATCTGGGTTGAGCCAAAGAGCCAACATGCCATCCATGCCAGAGCTTATCAGTGGGCACTGCTAAATACATCACTGCTTCTCTCACCATTCATGGCATTCTGACACATCAGAGTCAATCCATTATTTTCTAAAGCTGAAATTGACATGGCCTGGCTGGGATAATATTTTTATGGATAGTCCCCAATGAATATATTGCAACCATTCATCACAGAAAATGGCTATAAGTATACTGTAAAAAAAATTACTGTGAATTTAGCGGTAAAAGACTGTAAAAATGCTACAGTAAAAACCTGTTAAATGGTTAACGGTAAGTTGCCCTACTATATACGTTGAAAAACTGTATTGGACATTACATGTAATTTTATGGTAGTATACCGTTTTTAGAAGTGAAAAAGAAAAACGTATAATTTACAGTGAATAACCGTAAATTGAAATTCCCAGAATTCCCTGCGTTACATTCGAGCGGGAACCTCCCGCTCTCTCTCGTGAAGCCAACAAGGAAGTGACTTAAACTGTAATTCGTCAACTATTTTTTTATAACTCATCCGTTTAAATTATATTAAGCCTTAAAGTTCTGCATAATTAAGGGCGTGGCCACTTGAGTGACAGGTGGATTGCCGCTGCTGTCACCACCATCGAGCTAGGTGGGCGTGGTTTCAACAACCAGCTCCCACCTCTTTGCCCATCTTCGATTATCCGGGAGTTACGCGCGGTGACGCGCTGCTAAGATGGCGACGGCCGCCTCCGCCCACTTTTGAGCTTCAAAAACTATCTTCGGAACCCTACGGGTGACGTCACGGACACTACGTCCATGTTTTTATAAAGTCTATGGTTACATTTCAAATTTGACTTTTTTTGTTGAAATAATTATGTTTCTTAGTTTTTTCTTATCAGTTTTGTACATAAGGGTTGTATGTTACAGATAATGCTGTTAAATTAATGTGTATTGCATTATTTCAGTTTCATGTGTTACCATGATGGTGTTTAGCGTTTGCGTGAATGACACTGTGCACCTTCTATATGTTTTAGTATTTAAAAGCTGCTTGTGATGGGCTTTGGTTCATCATGTGACTTTCTCATCACCACCTGCTTTTGGTGGTTATCAGTGTATTACAAAGTTACAAATCAGTTTTCAGTACTTCAATAGGTTGGTATATTAACATTATCAGTTCATGTAATTACGGTATTTAAATGTAAATTGAAGTAAAAACCATATATTTTACGGATTTTTTTTATTTTTATTTTCTTGCCTTCTGTATCCTTACAGCCCTCATCAATAAGGCTCATGAACCACTTCATTGACTCCAAAACAAACCCCTAAATTCACTTTTACACAACAAACAACCAATAATGTGGACATACAGACTTGATTCCAAATAGCACACATATTATCTTACCAATGCACCTTATTGAATTTAACACAGATAAAACTGTATAAAGGTTTAGATAATATAATTTTCACAACTCACAACTTTCAAAACTATTTAATGGAGCTTTGTCAGCTAAAGGGTTTTTTTCGGAAACACATTTTGTCAGCTAAACAGTTTGTATGTTAAGCAACAGAACAATTGATTGAACAAACTGTACTTCTATCTCGCAGCTTTGTTGTAAAATAATAATATATAAAAAATAAAAATCTCTGGATTATTCACAATTACGCCCTACTGAAACTGATGGAGGTCTAAAGTAACTAGACTACTAGACTAACTAAAACAGTTCTCTGGTCATGGAGACTGAAAGCAATGTCTCATCATCATCACAATGATCATAATGCATTTAATTTTTAATATACTGTAAAAAACATCGTTAAATTTAGACTATGAACTGTCAGCTGTGCATGCCAGAAATTCACAGTAAAAATACTGAGACAACCAACAGGGCAACACACGTGGCACTAAAATTATGCAATAAACATGAATATAACAAATAATAAACAAACTACACTACGGAAAATCCATAAAAATATGACCTAATGTACTGTGTACTATTTGTACCTTCATAATGTAATATGAAGGAATTGATTCTGTATTGATTTTTCACAGGTGTTTTACCCATGTTGTGTTTTAACTTTAACTTAATGGATAATGTCCTGGCAGAACAAGATCATTATCTTTAATTATTAAATTACAAATGACCAGACTTCTATTTCAATTACTGAGACTAATAGCAGAGGTCTTCAAACTTCAGCATCAACACTAGGGAGGGAGTTGAGATTCTGGAACTGTCCACAGCAGCTCTGATGCTGATGTTACCGGCGAGATCATGGAGGCTGAATGCAAAACATATATCATCATCATCATCATCATCATCATATGTCTTCCAGCTGTACCCTGACACATGAAGGAGGAACGTAACATGCCCCCCCCTCCAATATGGGTTTTGCAATGGCTGATTCTTAAATTACTACATTTGTTCGTCCCCCAGTAGTCTACTGAATATAATGTCTTCCAGCTGTACCCTGACACATGAAGGAGGAACGTAACATGCCCCCCACCCCCAATATGGGTTTTGCAATGGCTGATTCTTAAATTACTACATTTGTTCGTCCCCCAGTAGTCTACTGAATATATGGCTATATCCGTGACATAAACTATAAAATCAATAAAGCAGAGTTAGAATATAACACAAACCTGAACAGCTTCACCAGTGATGCTTTCTGTAACCTGACAACGCTGTGCCTGGATTTAAATGAATGAAACCATGGCAGAAGGACATTTTTATTGCTTCTGAACACCAGCCAACCCTATCCGACACAATCCGAGCATATCTCACCACCTCCTCCTAAAATGCGCAGCATATTTCTCACCTTTTCAACGCGCCGAAAACGTTCGCGCACATGTCTAGCGGACCCCGTTTCCATCAGCTGCGCTGCTGAAATGTTTTGCGCGGTGCAACACTCCAGTAATTTCTGGATCGTGGACTCTTTTGAATCAGTTCGCTAAATGACTCATTCAGTGACTCTTTATGCAGTTACATCGTTACGCCGGTAGGTGGCGCCGGGTGAGTGTCATTTTGTGTGGTATTGAATCTTTCACTTTGAGTCATTGATGACTGACATAAGATTTATTATCCTTTATAATTTTTGCCTGGCTACAAATCTTTTAAGAAAACATAAGTGTTTTTCTCACAAATTACAACAAAGCATATCTTACATCTTACCCCATTTACTCAACTGCCTGACATGACATTTAATTAAGCTATAGAAAAACAATGGTAATCGCCTAAACAAATTAGGAATTACATTTATTTTAATCGTATATGGTTATTAGTAGTGCTGTCAAACGATTAATCGTGATTAATCGCATCCAAAATAAAAGTTGTTTACATAATATATGTGTGTGTGTGCGCACGTGTACTGTTTATATTTATTGTGTATATATAAATACACAAACATGCATGTATATATTTAAGAAAAATATGTTGTTTATATATTAAATATATTTATATATAATATAAATTATAAGAATATAAATATATACATGCAAACATTTGTAAATATTTTCAAGATATATATTGTATGTGTGTGTATATTTGTATATACATCATAAATATACACAGTACACGCACATATATTATGTAAATAAGAGATTAATCGTTATTAATCGGTTCACAGCACTAGTTATTAGTTATTTTTTTTACACATTCATAATTCTGATTTGAGAAGGAGATGGATTCACATGCCAAGATCAACGAACATTCTTCGGTTCATTCAGCTGCTGATCAGCCTGGTGTTTGTTTGTCACTCCAAATCTCATTCAGACTAAAACATTGACTGAATTCAGAATAGCATACTACTCGTATCAGGCTAGTTATGCAGATGACATAACTGCAGCACACGGTTACAATAAAAAGACCATCATCATCCATTGGCATGGACGATAATATTGATATCACTATAGTTATCATTCTTGCTTTAAATACACGCTTCAGTTATGTTGTACTCTGGCTTCTGATTGGCTGTGAATGTTTGTTTTTATCATTCATCAGCTGGAAAAAAAATTGTTCTGAAAGTGATTCCAACAATATTGTTCCTCCGTCATTGTCGTTATAGCTATGCCACGGATTCCATATTCTCATAGGATTATTAATAAAACTTTATAGTCAAGTTATATTTATCGTCCCTGGTGTCAACAGGTCTGTTGACACCAAAAACAATAATTAGCTTCTATATTGTAAATATTTTAGCTTTAAATTTGAGCTTTAGATTCTGATTGGCTGTCAGTGTTTTTTAAGTGTTGATTAATCAGCTGGAAAAAAAAATATATATAAATATACAACATATAAAAATACAAAACGGATAAAAAAAGATACATCTATAAAGACATTTCCATTCTGCCAAGATATTGGCACTGGTAAATCCAACCAATTAAATATTCCTTCGCAGTCCTCCTCACTACTTGCACGTGCCAAAGTCAATATCTAAAGACAGGAGTGCAGACAAAAGGGAGAGACTTCAGTAAACGAAAAATATCAACGGATGGTGTATAGAAGTGAACGAGAATGATTCACTTAAAAGACTCGTTCAAAATCAGCGATTCGTTCACAAACGGGGAGACCATTCCTCACACCAGGAGGGACCCCTCATACTGTAACATCTTCAACATGACCACATTTGCCTGATCAATAAATAAAACCATCTCTCCGTAACCTGAGGCATGGCAGATCGATACAGCACGGAATCTACTGGCTCCCCACCCTTGGGCATTTTTGATAAACACATTTAGGCGATGAAGTCAAAAGTGAGCTCCCTTCCACAACACAAAGTGGGTTCATCTTTTATGCACAACAACGTCAACTGTACACGTAATAGCTGAGCTGACTTTTAAAAATAATAAAAAGGCACAAATGACTTTTAAAAATAATCCGCGTGTTTAGCTCGCTGCTATTAGGTCCATTTAAAGCACACAAAGACATTGATCAGCTCTCATTAGGAGCTCACAGCAGTGCAAGGTTGAGGCGTTGTATAAATTAAACACATTATCATATGAATACATGTCTTATTAAACATGATGTTTAACGGGCTGTCCGTCCTACCTGCATAGCCAGCGGGCAGCCATCGGTGCGTCTGTGTTTACAGATTAAACACAACGCAATTTTCGTTTACAACCACCGGGCATACATGTCTAATGACATAAACTAGCTGGCCAAGCGAGAACCAACGGGTTACGAAGAGTTTGAATTCATTAAACGTCAATAACACGTGTCATGTGTTGTTGTCAAATTGTTTTCAGGCGTTTTAAATTAGCGCGAGAATATAACAAAATTATATAACGTTACTCCCTATCATTAAAAAAAAAAAAAAAAAACTGGGGTCAGTAAGATTTTTAAATGTTTTTGAAAGAAGCCTCTTATGCTCACCAAGGCTGCATATATTTACCCAAAATACAGTAAAACAGCAATATTATTGCAATTGTACAAAGTTTTAATTTATTCCTGTGATGATGTATTTCCAGCATCATTACTCCAGTGTCACAGGATCCTTCAGAAATCTTTCTAATATGCGGATTTCTTTTACAGTGATACATTTTCAGGATTCTTTAATAAATAGAATTTAAATTCAAATATTCAAAAACACTATTTAAAATGGAATTGTCATGTAACAATGTAAAATATTTACTGAAAGCATTTGTTTCTTATCAAGCACACACACACACACACACACACACACACACACACACATACATACATACATACATAAATGGGTTAGTCAAAAAAAAGTTATACAATGCAGATTATATTGCCATATAAACATAATCTTTTACGTGCAAACTTGTTGGTTTTATAGTTCCGTAACTCATGGAATGTTTTGGTCGTTCAGTTTGATTTAAATCCGAAGTACAGGAAGTAGAACGCGCCAGAGAGTTACACAAATCTGTATTTTTGTTGGAAATATAATTCACATAAAACACAATGCACTCTTTACAGAATGCGATATGTTGCGTTTTTTTCTCAGAAAACAATTATATATATCCTCTCTTGTAGGAAGTACTGATGCATGAGTGAGGGAAAGGACTTTTATTTTAAAATCATCCACCATGTTAAAATTGTACTGAAGATTCATGCTGTCATTGAAGGGTTTGGCATACTATGCTGAATAAAACCTTAAAAATATATTTACTTATGGACTAGAGAGTTTATTTTTGTATCTTAAGAGAACAGAGCTGATTAAGAGAATTTAGAGGGAAAATTTTTATTGAGGTAAAGAAGTTTTTTTTTTCTTGTCCTCTCATTATGAAAGGGTAAACGCTGGTCCACACTCCAATACAGTAGTTGGCGATAATGCACCTTAACATTGGTGCTACCCGCCATAAAACCGAGGAGGAAGAAGATGCTGTCACTGAGGCCAGGAGAAATTGTACTTATTAATTCTGATCAAGGCAATCAGTGACTTATCAACGATGAATGTAAAAGCAGGTAGTAATTTAATATTTAGGTCTCTGCGTCCGTGTTACACACACGCTCCTCTGTCATTAAGGAGTTCCTATCGAGGTCATCGACAAAGCGCAAGCCAACCTCCAAAACATGCCAAACATGCCGAGGTTTGTCGTTCACCAACTCTGTCAAATGAACAGCAGTGTAACTGTTCTTCTACACATCTGACACTTATATGCACTATGGCACGCATAAAAATGCGCCAATTAAATTTAATTATTATTACTGCTTTTTTTATTTAGAAATGTAACTTACATATACACTGGACTTGGAGCACAAAACCAGTCTTAAGTCGCTGGGGTATGTTTGTAGCAATAGCCAAAAAATAAACGGTATTGGTCAAAATTATAGATTTTTTTTTAATGCCAAAAACATTAAAATGCCAAATTAATGCCCATCCTAACAAACCATACATCAATGGAAAGCTTATTTATACAGCTTTGTATAAATCTCAGTTTCAAAAAATTGACGCTTATGACTGGTTTTGTGGTCCAGGGTCACATACAGGTGCATCTCAATGAATTAGAATGTCGTGGAAAAGTTCATTTATTTCAGTAATTCAACTCAAATTGTGAAACTCGTGTATTAAATAAATTCAATGCACACAGACTGAAGTAGTTTAAGTCTTTGGTTCTTTTAATTGTGATGATTTTGGCTCACATTTAACAAAAACCCACCAATTCACTATCTCAGCAAATTAGAATATGGTGACATGCCAATCAGCTAATCAACTCAAAACACCTGCAAAGGTTTCCTGAGCCTTCAAAATGGTCTCTCAGTTTGGTTCACTAGGCTACACAATCATGGGGAAGACTGCTGATCTGACAGTTGTCCAGAAGACAATCATTGACACCCTTCACAAGGAGGGTAAGCCACAAACATTCATTGCCAAAGAAGCTGGCTGTTCACAGAGTGCTGTATCCAAGCATGTCAGTCTGTGTGCATTGAATTGATTTAATACACGAGTTTCACAATTTGAGTTGAATTACTGAAATAAATGAACTTTTCCACGACATTCTAATTTATTGAGATGCACCTGTATATCTTTTCTTTCAGCTTTCTTAATTCCTATTGATGTTTAATGCTCATATATAATTTTAATAATACAAATAGAGTTACTACTGTAGGTGCAGTTGCCTGACGTTGCCTAATTTTAACCAGATTTAGTTGTTTCTTGTTTTTTGGGAAATTTCTTATGCTGCCTTGTTTTAATCCTTTTATTATAGAGGACTGGATTCAGTCCAGCAGCAACATCAAAATATGACTGGATCGGTCCACCAGACAGACTGTCAAACCTGAGGCCGATCATATATCACATCCCAGAGAATGAGATGCCACAGGAAAGGAAGTTGAGGCGTCTGAGACAGGAAACTGAAGACTGGAACCACGAGTTCTGGGCCAACCAGAACTTCACATTTAGCAAGGTGTGAACCACAGTTGTACGGTGCAAGCTTAAAAACCACACAGATTGATGCAGGAAACAC